GTGTGTGTGTAGGTGTGGGCTATGTGGTGAGTGCTGTGTGTGGTCTGTGTGTGGTGTGTGTGTGGTGTGTGTTGTGGTGTGTGTTGTGGTCTGTGTGTGGTGTGTGTGGGGGGACTGTGTGGGTGGTGTGTGTTGTGGTGTGTGTGTGCGGGGGTCAAGTGTGTGGTGTGTGTTGTGGTGTGTGTGGTGTGGTCTGTGTGTGGTGTGTGTGGGGGGACTGTGTGGGTGGTGTGTGTTGTGGTGTGTGTGTGCGGGGGTCAAGTGTGTGGTGTGTATTGTGGTGTGTGTGGTGTGGTCTGTGTGTGGTGTGTGTGCGGGGGCTGTGTGTGTGGTGTGAGTTGTGGTGTGTGTGGGGTGGTGACCCCGTCAGGCTCCTGCTGGCAGCCTGCCTTCCTCACGTCCCAGGAGTCAGTCGGGTATTTCCTTTTTTTTTCATAATTTCTTTTTTTATTGAATCCTGGTGAGATACAGTTACAAGCTTTGTTTGCGCTTTGGTCCTGCGATGATCAAACACCGTCCCTCCCCCAGGCACATTCCCCACCACCAGTGTCCCCAGTGTCCCCCCACCCGTCCCAACGCTTCCCTGCCTGCGTGGCAGACAATTCCCGCCTCCATTGACTGGAGTCGATATTTCGAACCAGTCCCACCATCATCGTTCGGGATTTCCCCACCGCCGCTCAAACCTGCTGAAAAGACGATGCGAGACGATTCATTTTGCGTCGCTTGTTATGAACAGCAAAGACACGGAATTCTAAACGTTTAGTTTAGGGTCTGGAGGTCTCTCAGGCAGGCTGCTTGGCCCCGAGATTCTTTCGTGTGTCTCTGGATCACAGCTCTTAAGGAGCTTAAATAGTAGCCTACCCGGGCTTCTCACTGGGTCCTGGCCGGTGGCAGCGGCCGGGGCTCCTTGAGGCAGGTGGAGGGACGCCCCCGGCCCCGTCTGGAGTAGCCCGGGCAAAGCGGCCAGTGCAAAGTCCGGGGGCATCTCTGCCGCGAGCTCCGAGATTCTTTCGTGTCTCCAGTTGGGTATTTCCTTGTGTGGCTGGTGCGGTGGCAGCCCCGTTGGGCCCCGTGCCGTGGCCTGCTGCCTCTCGTTGGGGGCTTGGCCCCTTCCCAGGGGCATGGCCGTGGGCAGCGAGTCCCAACGACCCCATCCGAAGGCCAGCCCTTCCCCCTTCTTCTTTCTATGTTTATTTTCTTATTTGTTCAGGCTGGAGCGATAGCACAGCGGTAGGGCGTTTGCCTTGTGCGCGGCCGACCCGAGTTCGATTCCTCCGCCCCTCTCGGAGAGCCCGGCAAGCTACCGAGAGTATCTCGCCCGCACGGCAGAGCCTGGCAAGCTCCCTGTGATGTATTTGATACGCCAAACACAGTCACAATGGAGACGTTACTGGCCGCGCTTGAGCAAATCGATGAACAACGGGAAGACAGTGACAGTGACATTTGTTTGGGTAGTTTTGGGCCCCACCGGGGGTGCTCAGGACTCAGTCCTGGTTCTGCGCTCAGGGATCCCTCCTGGCGGGCTCGGGGGCTGTGTGGTGCCTGGTCAGACCCGCTGGCCCCGCCAAGAGGGGCTCTGCCCACCGCACTGTCGCTCTGGTCCCTCATTTTGATAAATTTTATAAAGTTACAACATTTAATTTTTTCATTTCTTTGTTATGCTATCTTCTTATTATATTCTCTGAAAGAATATAGTATGACAATTGCTCAGTGCCTGAGGGTGGAGCCAGGGCTCTGGGGGTAAGATCAGTGCCCCCCAACCACCCTGGCCCCTCCTATCTGCCCCCTCCCTCTTCTGCCCTGAGGCTTTTCCAGTGCAAAGGCACCGGGGTGGGTGCTGGGCGGGGCCCCTCCCTGCCTGTCTCCCCTGGTCCCTGGAAGCCCCCTGGTGCCCCCGCGTCCCCCATGGCTCCTGGGCGGCCTGGGCAGGAAGGGGAGGGAGTGTGCTGGGGTGCTGTGGACCCCACGCCACAGGCTCCTGGCACGGCTGGGGCTCGATGCCCCCCGGGTGGGGGAGCCTGTCCACGGCCGTATGTGTGTCTGAGCCTGTGTGCGTGTGGGCATGAGCACACCTGTGGGCACATGTATTTGCACGAGTGAGTGCACGTGTGTGCGAATAGAAGTGCTTGTGTGCATGTAGGAGTACACGCGTGTATGCACGAGTGCATGTGTGCACATGGATGCGTATGCAGGGGCTGGGGGAAGCACGGCTTCTGGGGAGAACCCCACGAGGGACAGACAAGGCCGACGTCCCCCACCCAGACCACCCGACAACCGGGTCCACACCTGGGAACTGAGTCAGATAGAACCAGCCTGTCGGGGTCAGGTCACGCTCTGTGGGCTGGGGGTGTGCCTGGCCCCTTTGGGGGTGACTGGGGTGAAGTGCTGAGGTGAGGGCAGTGGGAGGGGTGAGGGGTGAGGGGCTCTGAAGGGTGAGGAGTGAGGGGCAGTAGGAGGGGTGAGGGGCAGTGGGAGGGGTGAGGGGTGAGGGTCAGTGGGAGAGGTGAGGGGTGAGAGGTGAGGGGCAGTAGGAGGGGTGAGGGGTGAGGGGCAGTGGGAGGGGTGAGGGGTGAGGGTCAGTGGGAGAGGTGAGGGGTGAGAGGTGAGGGGCAGTAGGAGGGGTGAGGGGTGAGGGGCAGTAAGAGGGGTGAGGGGCAGTGGGAGGGGTGAGGGGTGAGGGGCTGTGAAGGGTGAAGGACAGTGGGAGGGTGAGAGGCAGTAGGAGGAGTGAGGGGTGAGGGGCAGCGGGAGGGGTGAAGGTGAGGGGCTGTGGGAGGGGTGAGGGGTGAGGGGCTGTGGGAGGGGTGAGGGGTGAGGGGCTGTGGGAGAGGTGAGGGGTGAAAGGTGAGGGGCAGTGGGAGGGGTGAGGGGTGAGGGGCAGTGGGAGGGTGAGGGGTGAGGGGCAGTGGGAGGGTGAGGGGTGAGGGGCAGTGGGAGGGGTGAGGAGTGAGGGGCAGTAGGAGGAGTGAGGGGCAGTGGGAGGGGTGAGGGGTGAGGGGCTGTGGGAGGGGTGAGGGGTGAGGGGCTTCTGTGCCTCTGGGGACCCCTCTCTGTGTTTCCCAGCACACGGGGGCTGGAGGTCCGTGGGGCTGACCGCAGGACTGGCCGTATCTTTGTGCAGGATGTTCTGGCTGCCTGGGCTCCCAGCGTTGGCAGGGGTGGCAGGGGCAGGGACATGACCCCGGGCATGGGGGTGACACGGGGTGCGGCGGGGCGCTGGGAGGCCGTTCCTGGGTGCCGGAAGGACCCTGCTGGACGGGCCTGCGGGCCTGGCTCAGGTGCTGGGCCTTGGGCCGCCCCGTTCCCTCAGACCACCGCCAGCACCCGCCTCTGGGCCAGTGGCTGCCCCTCCCTGGACCTCGGTGTCGCCTGTGTCTGCAGTGGCCGCTGGCTCGGGGGCGTCCTGTGCCCCAGAGCTGGGTCCCAGGGCTGTGTGGGGTCGGGGCTGCCTGTCACGCCCTGCTGGTCACCAGCTCGGCCTGGCCTGGGAGCTGGGGGTCTCCCAGGCAGGGATGCTGGGTCCCTGGAGCTGACGCCCGGGGCGTGTCTGTAGAAAGCACCCACTGTGAGTGGCTGCGGGCAGCGGCCGCCCCGCCCCCGCTCGGCCGAGGCCAGTGGCCCTTCCTACCCGCCCCTGCCCCAGGACGGACAGGGACAGCCTTGGGGTGGGCCGGAGCCCTGTCCTGGGGGTGTCCTCCCGTCCCTCTGCGGCGGGGGCAGAGAACCGGGTGCGTGCCCGTCCCCGGCTGCCCCCCCAACGCTGCGGCACCCAGTGGACACGGGCCTCCAGGAGGGTGTCCAGTGTGGAGACAAAGGCCGGGCGGGACACTCGTGAGCGCAGGCGGCCAGGCAGCCGGCTGGACGCCCACAAAGGCCTGGCGCGGGGGGGTGGGGCGGGCAGGCCGTGGTTGCCGGGGTGACCGGCCTCTGGAGAGGTCTGCCGGGCCATTGTCCGGCCCGCGGGAGGTGTCACGCAGCAGATGGCCGTGTGCTGCCTGGGTCAGGATTCGGGGGACAGAGTGAAGGAATGCGGCGGCCTGGCGGCCCGGGACGCCATCTGTCCCCTCAGACAGCGGGCACGGGTGGGCACGGGCGCCCAGACGCGGCTCTAATGAGCTAATTCCGTAATTGGGCTTTATCTCAGGTGAACTGCGTCTCCCGCCCGCCGCCGACGGCCCAGGAAAAGGGCGCCCCTGGGCACGGCCCAGCTGGGGCTCCCAGGAACTGTCCACCGCCTCCTCGGGGGCCCAGGACGCAGGCCTGGGGATGCCCAGTGCGACTGTGGGGCCCCACCTGGCCCCTGCTGGGAACGAGGCCCCACAGGACGTGGTGAGGGGTCCCGGTGGGGGCACCTCACAGACCCAGTCCCCACTCTCCTCGCTGCCTCGGCCCGGCCTGGCCTCTGGGGGACGTCGAGGAAGGAGATGCGAGGTTGGGGGTGCGGCAGGGGAGTCCGGGGCAGGGGTGGGGCAGAGGCCCCAGCTCACGGCAGGCACGGGGTGGGGGCAGAGGGCAGGCCCAGGCCTCTGCCCCTCTTTGGGGCCCCTGCCCCCCCCGCTCACCAGCCCAGCGTGTGCGGGCCTGGGAGGGCCCCGAGGTGCTGCCTGGGGCTGGTGGCTCCCTGGGCTTCTCTGCTGGCCGCTGAGCGCTGAGCGGGCCCGGGGGACCCTGGGAGCCTGTTCCAGGGCTGGGGTGAGGCTGGAACATTCCAGCAGAGGCGTGGCCCTTGGGACGAAGCCACACTCCGGGGCCAGCTGCAGGGCACTGAGTCGCGTCCACCCACCCCGGGTTACCAGGACCCCCCGCCATGAGGCATGCAGGACAGAGCACAGGGCCTGGTGCTGGTGCAGTGACGGCTTGGGGGGCCCCCGGCCCCGTGTCCCCTGATGTCCCATATCCTCCCATGTCCCCCGAGTTTCTGTGTCCTCCCCCGTGCCTCCTATGTCCCTGCAACAAGGCCACAGTCCAGCTCACCCTGTGAACCGTGTTTATTGGGGGCCACAGTGGGTGGGGCAGGAGCCAGCCGCTGCCGCCCCTCCTGTGCCCAGGCCCTCCCCGAGGGCATCCCTGCCGGGCTAGGAGAGGAGGCCAGGTCTGCCGCTGGGGGGGGTGGGCGGCATCTCCTCTCTCCAGTCACAGTGGGGCCCCGCCCACGTGGACTGGCCCCTGGGCCTGGAGTGCCGGCTGGATCCACGGGAGCCCCCCAAGCCCACAGCACTTCCCCAGGGCCCTGCCACGGGTGGAGCTGGACCCTGCCACGACCCCGGTCATCACAGGGCCACGTGGGGCTGCAATCTTGGAACAGAGAGGTGAGTGCTGGACTCCACTGGCCAGAAGTGGCCATTCCAGGGGCCTCGGGGGCCTCGGGAGGAGGATCTGTGAGGAGGTGGCTGGCACCGGGAGGCCTCTGCCGAGACCCCCCAAGCCCTGCCCGCTCTGTCCCCAATCAGGACGCCGGGTCCAGACCCCGGGGTGGCACGGTCAGCTGCTCATAGGTGGGGAGGGCATTGCTGGGCAGGAAGAGCTCGGGGCGGACAACGCTGCCACGGCAGGGCAGGACCGCTGGGGGCTCGCCCCCCAGGGGGTCCCGGTCCCCCGGGGGGCCAGCCTGGTGCAGAGACAGCAGCTGGTGGACCATCTCTGTGATGAGCACCAGCCTCTGGTCCAGCTGAGCCATCTGCGGGGACAAGGAGAAGAGTCAGTGCCACGCCCACCCAGAAGCTGGTGAAGCACTCAGGTGCGCGGGCTTTGTGACTGAAATCTCCAGGCTCTCAGGAGCCAGGGATGGGCGACCTCCCCCATCCCCCTGTTCCTCCGGACGCCCGGCAGTCACACCCCCTGTGACTGCCTCTGGCGCCAAATAAGCTCGTGAACCAGCCAGGATCCAGAGAGTCACGAATAAATCTCGAAAGCGGTCAACAAGCGGCAGAGATGCTTCCAGGTCCTGCTCCAGGCGCTGTCATCCAGTTAAAGTGTCACCCCCATTCAAAACTTTTGAATTCCGGAGCATGTGGCCACGAACGCAGCATCTCCACTCTACACCACTGAGAAAGCAAGGGCGGCTCACCACGTGGGATGAGGTGGGAGGCTGAAGACAACCGGACTCGAGGAAGAGAATAAGGAGGGCTGGAGCGATAGCACAGCGGGGAGGGCATTGGCTTTGCACACGGCTGACCTGGGTTCGATCCCAGGCATCCCATAGGGTCCCCCAGCACTGCCAGGAGCAGTTCCTGAGTGCAGAGCCTGGAGTCGCCTTTGAACACCACCGGGGGTGGCCCAAAAAGCCAAAAAAATTATATATATAAATACACAAAGCTTAACCTGTAACAAAATGCAGCTAAATGCAGCTCCCGGATGAGACCAGTGCAGTCAGTCTCCTGCCCCTGTGCCTGGCTGTTCCTCGCCAGGGTCCCTTGGAGGGAGCGGGTTGAGCTTTCCTCCCCGCCCCGACCAGGGCTCTGGCAGCTGAAGACCTCCAGGACCAGCCACCACCATGCTGAGACCACTCTCCGCACACATGAAGGTACTGGCAGAGGGACAAAGCCACGCGGGTTCCGGGGCCGAGATCTCCAAGCCTACTCGAATTGGAGTCGAGCATCCTCCACCCAGATCCTCCAAATTCCAGTAGGCGGGGGTCACACCTACCACCTGGCCCCCTGGCGCCGTGTAATCCCATCAACGGCCAAGACTCAGAGACTACAAAATGCAGATCCCGGAACCGCGCGGCCACATTTGCGGCTGCTCGACATCTTATCAGAACATCTTTTTATGATTTCTCATTATCTCATTCCTACTCTGGACAAATTGCAGGCTATGGAATATAGCCTGCCCACAGGGCAGAGTCTGGCAAACTCCCCGTGGCGCACCAAACATGCCAAATACCAGTAACATTGTTGGGTCTCATTCTCCTAAAGAGCCTTGAATATAATCTCAGGGCTAGGATGAAAGAGACGTTACTGGGGCCTGCTCGAGGCAATCGATGAATAACCTGTAACAGCACGTTAGCTATCTCTTCTACAACGGTTTAAGGGCTCCAGGGTGACGTGCAACAATCTTCACACACTTTCTTCTAAGGAAACATTTTTTTTGATCATTTTTAGCGAATTATTTATAACAAACTATAGTTCACCTATATAACAAACAATATAAACTTTTTTTTTTTTGCTTTTTGGGCCACACCCAGCGATGCATGGGGGTTCCTCCTGGCTCTTCGCTCAGGAATTACCCCTGGTGGTGCTCAGGGGCCCATATGGGATGCTGGGAATTGAACCCGGGTCGGCCGCATGCAAGGCAAATGCCCTACCCGCTGTGCTATCGCTCCAGCCCCTAAACTAAAAGTTTTAGGACCTGCTATAGGGAGAGGCTTGAGGGGTGGTTGGGAAAATCGGAAATAACGGTGACGGGAAGGTGCAAAGGTGTTGGGACTCGTGTTGGAATAGTGAACAGAATAAATCATCTTAAACAAAAGGGGCAGAGATGTGAGGGTTGGTCCCAAGCAAGCCCACCACGAGCACCCGTGGGTGGGAGGGACACCCTCCTCTGCCGCCCCCACCCCCTCCACACACCCAGAGGGCGATGCCTCTGGGCCCTAGGGGGGAGGGGCAGCTGGTGCTCAGAGCCGAGTGTAAGGGCAGGGAAGGGCGACCCCTGGGTCCTTGCGAGGTCAGGCACAGCCTGTACTGGACGTCTGCGGATGGAGTGGGCCAGGGGCCCCGACCACACAGATGCGGGACACCCAGGACAGACGCTGGGACCCCAACACAGGGATGCTGGGACCCCAATACATGGATGCTGGGACCCCAACACAGGGTGTAGACACTGGGACCCCAACACACGGGTATAGACACTGGGACCCCAGCACACGGGTACAGACACTGGAACCGCAACACTCCTGGAAGGGACAGGGCCCTCTCACCCGCCCCACAGCCGCTGCTGGGAACCCCAGGTGTGCCAGTGGCTTGGGGGCTTCATGAGTGCTACTTGGGAGAGGGAGTGGGCCCCTGTGACCCTGAGTCCTCCGTATGTGCTGAGTCCTCCCACGGCCACCAGAGTCCTCCCATCAGCCTGGAGTGCTCCCCTCACCCAAGTCCTCCCTCACCCGAGTGCTCCTCACCCGAGTCCTCCCTCACCCGAGTGCTCCTAACCCGAGTCCTCCCTCACCTGAGTATAGCTCCCTCATCCGAGTCCTCCCTCACCTGAGTGCTCCCTCACCCGAGTCCTCCCGTCTCCCCAGGGCCCCCCCAATGACCCCGATATCCTCCCGATGCCCACAGGGTCCTCCGTGCCCCGCACCCAGAGTCTGCCCGGCTGGACCGGCTATGCGGGGGTGTGGGGAGACAGCAGCTCTGCAGACCCGCTGAGCAGGGGCCCAACGCCCAGGGCTGCCAGCTGCCGCACTGCCTGGCCAGGGGCACGGCTTCCCAGTGTGGGCAGGCCAGCTGCAGGGAGGGCGCTGGGCACTGCTGCGTGGACATGGGTGTGGAGGCCAGATCCACAAATGGGCACCCAGTGACCAGACACAGCCCTCGGGGAGAGAAAGCAGGACTGGGGACCTGGGCAAGAGTGGCCAGGACAGACCAGAGAGAGCGGGCAGCGGCCGTGCAGGGCCAGGGGGCAAACCCAAGGCTTTTGCACGAAGCTGTCTCCAGGCCTGAGGCGTCCGCTGTGGCCCTCTGGAGTGGGCCGAGGGGCCTGGGCCCAGGAGTGACCCCCTGGTGCGGCCCCCGGGCACGGGGTTAATCCGCCCTGAAGGGCAGGACCTCCCCTCACCCCCAGTGGGCGATGGGGCGCGTGTCCTGGGCCCTCAGCCCTGGCGCTGTCATGGGCAGTCCCAGGTCTACCGGTGGTGCAGTGGGAAGTGCTCCCACGTGACGGGCCTGACCCTCAGCTTCCCCGTGGGTCAGGCGGGGTGAGGGTGGACACCCAGGTCAGCCGGGGCACAGGGCTCAGCCCAGCAGCAGCGAGCAAGCCGGGAACCCCAGTGCATGTGTGGCTGTGTGTGTGCAGCTGTGTGCTGTGTGCATGTGTGTGTTGTGTGTGCTGTGAAAATGTGTGCATGTGTGAGCTGTGTATATGTGTGCTGTGTTGTGTGTGCATGTGTGTGTTCTGTGTGCATGTGTGTATTGTGTGCTGTGTGTGCTGTGTGCATTGTGTGCTGTGCGTGGTCATGTGTCCGCCCGTGCTGTGCTCTGATCAGCCCCCACAGAGACGGGTCTCTGCCTCTGAAAGTGGAGTTGACCCCGAGGTGCTCTGCGTGGGTCCCGCCCGCCCTCACCTCGAGCTGAGTGGCCTGGGCTGGGTGGGGCAGTGACACTGCAGGCCGCTCCCTCAGGGTCTCCCCGTGCCGCCCGGCCTGGCCTGCGGTCCTGACTCCCAAACTCTGCTCCGGGGAGAGACCCTGGCAGCACCCCGACTGTCCCTGCTGGCCTTCCGGGCTCAGAGGATGGACGGTTCTGGAAGCTGCCGCAGAAGGTTCCAGAAGCCCGCTGGTGCACACAGGCCCGGTGGGCTGCCGGCTACTGGGGTGGGGGCCTGGTTCTGGGCCTCACGAGCAGCTGCCCCTGCGTCTCCCCTGATTCTGCGGGAGCTCTGCCTCCCTGCACGGAGGGACGCGTTCTAGAATGTTCTCCCCGGGGCCTCGGAGATGCCCCCGACGTGGGCTTTGGTCCGAAGGTGGGGGGCTCCCGGCCCTCCCCTCCCGGGCGCCGACTGGGCCCCGCAGCCCCCCAGCTCCGAACAAAGGACACGCCCTGGCCACGGCCTCCGGCCCGCCCGGCCCCGCGCCCCCGGCCCCCTCGCTGGAATGTCCTCCTGGATTCTCGCGCTCACGCCCTCACCTCGCCCCCCAGACGCCCGGCTCTCCAGGGCGTCTTTGTGGCTCGCTCCCCTCCCCCGCTGGACGCGCGGCTGGGGGCGGGGACGGCCGCCTGGACACGGCCCCTCCCTCCGGCCCAGGCGGGAGCAGCAGCGGCCACCGCGCCCCTGGGGCCTGGGCTCCCAGGCAGAGGCCACCTGGTGGGGGTGGGGGCGGCAGGACCGCGGGCTCGGCCGCCAGCCCCTCGCCGGGGCCCCACGGGGGTCCGGCCGCCCTCCCTGCCCACGTCAGGCGGCCGGCCGGGCCAATGGGCTGCGGGCTGGCTCGGGCGGCGGGAACCGGCGCCGGGAACAAGGCTGGCCGCTGTTTGTGTTGGCGGCCAAGGGCACCCACCTGCAGGCCGCCCCCGCTCAGGCAGGGGCCGGGCGCCCCCCGCCCGCCGCCCGCCCGCCCGCCGCAGGCCGCTGGCCAGGCCCGGGAGGACCCCGCAGGCCGCCCCCGCCCTCCCCTCCTGGGCACTGTTGCCCCTCGCACCCTCCGCTCCTTCCAGAAGCTTCCCCCAGCCCCCTTCGGCCCGCCTGGCCCACACACCGTCCGGACCTTGAGGGCCTCCCCCTGAGGACGGAGGGGAGGTGGGCAGCTGCGTTTGCGGTGGGGTCTACCAGGGTGGAGGGGTCCCGGGGACGAGGGGCGGTGCCCGCACCCTGGCCTGCTCTCCCAAGGTGGGGGCCGGCCCACGGGGCCTCTTGGACTTTGCTGGCCGCGGGACACTTCCGTGCAAGAGCAGCTTGTTTGTGAGGGTCTGCGTGGGAGATGCCCCCAGGACACCCTCGCAGAGAAGCCGCATTTCTAGGAAATGCCCC